GTAAAATAAGTCAGCATTTTCTAGTAATAGGGTATTTTATGGGATTTTATAAAGATAAATATATTTGTATGAGAAAAAAATCAAGAAAATGATACATTCTAAAAATCAGAAAGGTGAAAAATATTTATATGTAATATTCAACATTTTATATTTTTAACAAATTTGAAAATGTGAAAATATTAATATGTAAATGAGAAGGCTGGATAATGGTTTAAAATTAATGGATGTATAAAGCAATCAACATAATATATCCATATTTATAATGCACTCCTTCTCTAAGAAATATTATAAAATTAAAAAAGAAAATTTCAAATATACCCTTATTAGACATCAAAATATCATATTTGTTTAACTTAATTTTTTTTTTAATATTATGTTTACCTTTCATAAAATGTTAAAATATCGTATATTCCGTTTTTAAACATCAATATATATATATATATATATATATATATATATATATATATATATATATACACAACATGATAGGATTATAAACTATTAAAAACACTGTAAAAAAGATTTGGACATATATGCGTACATTTTTAATTATTATAATAGTTCTAAGATATAGAAAATGATTATAAACTATTAAAAACACTGTAAAAAAGATTTGGACAAATATGATATTTTGAAGGTTTATAAAGGATAAATATGATATTAGAAATTAAGTTGAACAAATATGATATTTTGATGTTTAATAATGAAATATATGAAAATAAAATAAAATATTAATAAATGGATAAACAAAAAGTAAATATATGTTTTATTTTTTGATACGAATTAAGTAAATTAAAAATATTAAATCAAAATAGAAAAATTAAACAGAAGTATAAATATTAAATAGGAAGGGATAGGACCATATAAATATCTTCCTTTACCTATTCTAATATAAAAAATATGTTCATTCTTCTTTTGTTATATGTCACTCTGTTAGGCCTCCTAATTAATATCATGTCAGTTGTCAACCTATTGATTCTCCATTTTAAATTTTAAATTTTAAATTTTCCACTCTAATTAAATTAAATTAATAACATTAGAATAAAAATTAAAATACAATTAATACAGATTATTAGGTGATATAACTTCATGAATTTATTAAAATCAATGATTATAATTTTATATAAGTAAAAAATATCTCTTAAATAATAATTTATTTAAAATAATTGATTAACAATTTTGAGTTTTTACTATAAAAGTTTAATTAATTTTGTAACTTGGTTCACACCGGTTAAAAGTAGTATCTTTTAAAACTACTCTCTAAAGGTTATTATACGTTTTATGTCTAATCAATAATCATATTTGATATCTCATAATCATCATAGTTTATAAATAAAAATATGTTTACACAAATACATGGTATAACTATAGACGAATTACACATAATTATATAAGAGAGGTTATTCATACATAATAAAATAATTTTTTGTCATACACAAATGACATGTCTTTTTTTTTATGTTGCACAACCTTTTCAAAACATAAAATTTTATGTATGTCAAATAACTCTTATTTACAAATCAACTTTCTAACTATATTGCTTTATATTTTTTCTATTTCATTTCATGTGTCAAATTAGAGTCATAAAATGAATAATACAAAATTGATATAAACTCATCAAACATTATTGATTTATGTAACATTTTCTTTATATTTTTTAATCTCCTTAGTCAATATTTAACCGAAATTATTATTGTTTTATTTGTTACAAGTGGATTAAGCATGTGTTTCTTATTTACATTATGTCAGGTTTTAAATTAAAATTAAATTCAAAAAATTATCAATAAAAGTCACACCCTTTATTCAACTTTAAATTTACATCACCACACATGTTTTTTTTCCAATGGGATGCATGTATCTGTACATATATTGCTATGTCTCCATCTCTTGTAAAACGACAACATATTTTGTAATGATTGATG